AAAAAAGATCTACATGATAATATTACATATAAAAAAACTATAGCTCTTGTAATTTTAGATAGGCTTTTTTAAAGTCTTTACATATAAAGAAAATCTATGTTTCCCAGGGGCGGCCCAATTTTGCTTCAAAGGCTTTAATTTGAACACTTTTGTAGAGGTACTCCTTACAATGTTTCGTACCAAGTATCTGAGCAAAAGCCTTTATAGTATAAGAAAGATTTTGAATGTTAACCATATACATACAAGGGAAATCAATGACCCCTTGGTGAGGCCAATTTTAATCCCAAAGCTACAAGTTCAATGGACAATATTTCATGTTTCATATCCTTAAGCGGAATGTAGCTTAATTGGACTGTTATGTGAGCGCGGGGCTAAACGACTAGGCAAATGACCTTTTATTCATTGATACAGCATGTACCGGAGAGGTTCCTTATGTGTTATGAGGATCTTTCATTTGAATTGCTGCATAATCATTGATCCAGTTTTATATTGTTTCCAACTTAAAGAGGGTTTTCCCTTACGTTTACTGATACCACTCTAAAATATTTCTTTCTCTAATATATTATCTTTCAATGTCTCCAGAACATGTTATATGGTTGTTTTGATTTTTTGGTAGTTTTTGTCACCTTAAATGATATTATTAAATTAATAGAGTCCAAAAACAGAGTTTATATTTAGAGCAATAAATGTTCCCTCACTTCTTGCAATATTTTCTTTTGATTCCTCCCTATCTGCATCTGATAAATTGGCTGCACTGTTTATATTGCTCCCTTTCGATTCCATATAAAGCAACAATTTTGTGACATGCACGTCCTCTTCTTGATCTTCTTTAATGTGCCTTGAAATACTTATGCTAAGTGTTCTTAAAATCTGCGACAAGTTTCGAATGATGTCATGTTCATTTGTGATGGCTGCGGAATTCTACTAAGATTAATTGCTACAGTTTTAATAATATTCTATCCGGACACCGTTGAAATTTTTGTTAAGTCTTTATATCCAGCAAATATAGGAAATATTAGCAATATCCTGTTTTATTATATAATCTATAAATAGCTTTGAAATGCCTTTCCCTGATTGGCTAACAAGCACTTTTTTGTAAAAAATAACAGGTCAATATCAGAGTATATTCACTGTTTTTTTTCCTAAAAATAGATTTTCAGAGTATATTCACCGGTTTTTCTTCTAAAAATAGATTTTCTGGAAATCCCTAAAAGACGCGAGACTTTGACGTGCCAATGGAAAGGGCCAAATTATGGAAACAGTAGACAAGCTGAAAAATAATGATATCCGTTGTATGCAATGGCAGATGTGATGAGCCATGTAAAAGCCATTTATAAATTATATAATAAAACAGATATGTACTTTTTAGCTGTTGAATATGATGTGATATGTACTAAAAAATTAATATTGACCTCGGCTATCGTCTCGGTCAATATTAATTTTTTCAGTACATATCACATCATATTCAACAGCTAAAAAGTCCATATTTGTATAATATATCATATCTTGACACTTCCGGAAGTGGATTTTTTTGTATTTTGCATAATATTCCGCCAATTAGGAATTATTATTTGATATCCTTTTCATATAATATCTATAAAATGAGGGATTAATATATTGTCATTTCTGACACCATGTTATGTTCATAAGTATTTTTAAAAATGACATAATGTCCATGTGCTCTAAATACATCTTTTGAAATTATATATGTTTGATACATGGCAATTGTTATCAGAATGTTTGGTACATGACACTTGTTATCATAGCAAAGTCGATGGAAGTGTATTTAGATAACTCATAATGCAACATCTGTCAGGGCCCCAATCCAGCCTAACAACAACCAATTTAAACACGAACCCCCTTATTGCGTTTGATATCAATTTTGCCGTAACCTTATGAAATCATATTTTTTGCACAATCAGACAATTAAATCAGGCAGAAAACAAACCCAAGCTCTGAAGTATGCACGGTTTCTCTCATTTAATTAAAAACTTGCATTGCTTCCACTTCTATCCGCCTACATTTCTAACTATGCCCCCCTTTTTAATGCCCCTTAGTATATCAAGATTTTTGGCAGTACACTAGATACCACAGTCTTCATCTAACTTTAAATAAGCAGAGTAGTTACTTTAAGTTAAACATGCACATGATTTGGTCTCATAACCCAATAAAACTGAAATCTATACAATGTCACGATTTTATGAAAGATAAAGAATGGTATACATGTATATGCATTTATATCATTCACGTTTTTTTTTACAATGTTTGATTAATGGAATATCGATATTTTTACTTTGTTTAGAAAAGATAAACTTTGATCCGGACAGATAAACTTCAGATCGCTTCTGGCACTATATCAAAGATAAAAAACCCACAATTATTGCACTCCACATAACTTTAATAAACTCAGTTAGAAAATATAAATCTTTCAATAATTTTCATGAAAATGGGATAGATACAATTAAACATGATGTTCTTTTTGCGGATTTTCTGTCTGTTGTTTATCTATTCTAATGTATTTGCTATCGACAGGGGGACTTTACATATTTTTAATTGAATGTGGACAACGTACACAATACTATAGCTCATTTGCAAACGGCATCGTTCACTCTCGTATCTAATGCAAGTTGATTTTTCAAATTTTTCATGACTTGCATTTTAAAATAGATATAGATGTTGATCAAAAATAAATCAGTAGTATGACATTATATAAATGTCACATCACACTGAGAGTGATAAAATGAAACGTCCACCCGAGTCAAGTGGTATGAATCGGGGCGTTAACCTAGATTGACATTATCTAGTCAATAATGAACATTTTGTTTTATTATACCTCAATGTAAAACTCCCACAGGCCTTTTATGTTTTCTGATTGAAAATAACCCTCCTAAGATATATCCCATTGGGAATATTTCTTATTTCTTATATCACCGTGGAGCACATTATCATTGTATAACTTCATATGTAGCATTGTTTTAAAGTTTAACTTGACTTTGTTAACTAGGCTACGTTTCATAGTTTAAAATGTCATATTCACAGAATAATATATGTATATTTTGTCTCAACTTTATGTAGAAATGTATAAAATTATTCTTGAATTCTTTTTGTTAGATTTATTGTTTTGAGCAAAATTAAATTGTAAAACTGATAATTTGTATTATATTGATTTCCTTGACTGCGTTCTACATCAATATTGAAGTTGTAGCTGCGCCTCGGAGTAATTACAAGTTCTCGAGCTGACAATATCCTCTATCACCCCATCAGCCATGTGTTATTTATATATCATCACCCTCGTAGGAATTGTGTGTTAATTATAGATTTAGACATTTCATACGTTACAACTAATGACTCAAACCCAGCACCCGATCTGTGCATGTAATGTCAGCGGGCCCAAATGAAAATCGTGATGTTAACATGTGACGTTACAGTAGACTATATATAACAAATCACGTAAATTATGATTAAAGATAATTCAATTTTCAAATTTTATTTTAATGAAAACGGAGGTGAACAGTTGTGTTGAAATGGTCGTCTCGTCCATACACATTCATCTCAATAGTAGGAATGACTGATGCTTATTCTTTTAACGCGTAATCATGAATAATTTAAATATTGAGAAAAAGGAATTGTTGAACATTTCATTATCTGCGTCGTCATTCATCAACTTTCTTGTAATCGCTATAAGCAAGGGGTTACATTTTTGTCACATTTTAAAAATAAACAATAAGGGCATAAATGACAAAAATAATACACTGAAAAACATGATCTAAACATATCGAAAAAGTTACTCTACATGTATATAGCGGCAAGGTTGTATGTCCCTAATGGACCAATATCAGGAACTGAAAAACTGACAACACCTAATGTATTTTGCAATGATTAAAGGTCAGTCAACAAAGCAACACACGCACAAGTGTAATATAAATAGAAGCACAAAATATAAATTAAATAAATCTACTTAGTTAATGGGCTGGTTTTATTACGCTTTATATTAACGTATTTATCTTCGGACAAAATCATCCATCAATTTTGTAAAAGCAAGTCAATTGAAACAAAAATGTAAATTCAGTAATGAAGTATGTAATGGATATGTTCTTATACCATTTCTTCCAATGCAGTTTTATTTTAATAAGTTAAATTAGTCAATATATTTTTAAACTTTTAAATTTAGATAACCCCTTTAACGCAAAATTTACAAATAAGGCGACAAAAAATAAACGCAATTCCTGAAACGGATGAAAAGGGTTTTTGTTGTAAAAAATTTACTTTATGACGCTTTGTTGTTATGCTTTTTCCAAAGTTAAAAGTTTTTTTCAGATTTTTGAGATTTAAATTTTGGGTTCCCATAACAGGTTTTCCATTTTTTAAATTTTTTTTATTTTTTTTACAAAAGTAAATTTTTTCCTTTTTTTATTAAAAGAGAGATACAGCAAAATTTTTATTTTTCCCCTTTGTTTTGAATTTTTGATAATTTTGTTTTGTAAAAACCAAAAACAAAATAGGGAAATGAGGAACAAAAAACTTTTTCCTTAAAAAAAGATTTTAAAAAGGGAAGGTTTCCCAATTTTGACCCCCCGGAAAGGGAAGGGTTTTTAAACCCTTTTAAAATTTCACAATAGTTGTCACGAAATTCTGGAAACGTTAAAGGACATGCAAAATGAATTGTTTAAATTATAAAATATCCACAATATCTGCTTTCGCAAATTCCACCGTTTGTTCAAGTCACATGCCTTGTTTTAAAACTACTCGATGATTCTGTTGGCGTCTAAATTTCATTCAAAAATTTAAGATATATTTACGCTTCTATCCAAAATATATAGAATGTATACAGAAATTCTGTACTGGGACTTAACAAATCTATTTAAGCGTGATTTGAGTATATAAGATCATTTTAATATTCTTTTCATTAATTAGCCTGCGTATCCCTAATTGAAAAGAGTTTATCAAATGTGTTTGTTTTCATAATAAATATAGCAATTGAACATCTTATTTCAATATCTGCAGATATTAGAAATTGAACCGGTAAAGATACTACGGGGAATAATACAACTTGAAGGGGACGCTGAAAACCTTTACGATGAACATATTACCATGGTAAGAGTTGAAACTATTGTAAATGCATTTGAACGTAAAACCTTACCAATGAGATTAACGTGCACGAAAGTTGTTGTTCTTTTCTAAGTAAAAATTGCTACTTGAATTGGTTTTAGGAAAACAACCTTCTGTCATTAAACATTGTTTAATTTAGCCCTTTCGCTGCCAGAGGGTTATTGTTTTATTGTTCACCTATTTGCCAGAGGATTTTCTAAGAAATTAAATGTTAATAATTAATATAATTATTATTATTTGTTATATGTATTATAATAACTATATATGTTTCCAAATCTGTTAGTATAATAATAATTATTGTCGATGGTATAATTTTCTTTATATTTATTATTATTTTATTATTATTATTATTAATTTATTATTATTACTATTATTATTATAGAAACGGCTTAAGCCGTTCATATGGCAAATACGCCGAAAATAACAGGGACGGCTTAAGCCGTCCCTATGGCAGTGAAAGGTTAATGTATTGACCAAGTTTACAAAAACAAAAGGATAATTTAAACTATCAAAAATATTCTCTGAAACGTTGCATGATTAAAGAGAATTATGATTGAAACAAATTGATAAAAATATAACTTACTAACAAACGAACGAACTCAAAACTGCGCCAAGCAAAACGTCATTTGATTTCATAAATATTATATAATATATGAATATTCCAAGTAGACCCGGCAGCAATTGTTTGATATGCTATCGGTGTAGAAATATATATGAGAGTTTTGTCTATAGCCAGTTGCTACAAACAGCAACTACTATGGCATGGGTGTTGAAGATGTATGGGCAATGGGTTACACCGGTAAAGATGTCGTCTTAGGTCTTGTATGAGTAGGAATAGATACACAATTACTCGATTTAAAAGAAAACATTGTAAGACAGTTAATTTGCTAATTATATACCACACTTGTTACATACTCACAAATATAAAAAGGATTTTTGATAATTCACTTGACACTAAATCAATAAAGTTTGAAGATTTCATGAAGTTTTGTAAATGTAAGTTTAAATGTAATTATGTATTAAACCTTTTTTATGAAATTCTTTATTCGTGTTTGAATTTGATATTATAAAATTATTTACATTCTCTTTCAGAAAAAAGACTGGAGCTTTAATTTCATTCAAAATAATACCAATGTGGCTCCTGAACACTTTCAAGAACATCCAGAAACTTTGCGTTATACAAAGTATGTTCCGGTTGATATAATGAGAAATAACAAATGAAAGTTTTGACTTGTGATCCAATATGTTCGTAATTGTTTACTTAATGTTCTAATAAAAAATCAGGTTTAAGTTAAATGTCATTTACACAATCAATTTTAAAAGCAAATATAGCTTTGTTTAGGAAAGTAAAAATTGACATTGGTTCAAATTTACGTAAGGGCGATTGAAATTAAGTTAGACTTTCAATTTTACAATTATTAATTAACTGATCAAAAGTAATTCTGATCATAGAATGGAATGATTTTCATCATAAAATTTACAAACAAATATAATTTGAATTCTTTTAAGTATGTAAATTACTAAAGATTAAGATATTAGCTAAAACTAAGATAGAAGTTTTGATTGGCGTGATCAAAGTAAACAGTGATTCTTATCTAAGTATTATACATTGGTTATATAAGCTATTATGAATCCCTCGGTAATTGCGACTTTCACTGATAAACTACATATCGATTTGATTTTCAGTTCCTTTTCCAATGATAGCGCACACACAAATCATATTAAGCTTAAATACTTTATATCATCATGACAAGTCATTCAGATTTCATACTTCATATGTATGCGAATCTTGATCTAGGTAGTGCCTAGCAATTATAAGAGAACGCAAAATAAAAAAAATGGGATTTGCCCCCCCCCCCCCCCAAAAAAAAAAAAATCAACAAACAAAATAAACACACAAAATCGAACAAACTCACGACCCCCCCCCCCTTCCCAAATATAAAAAAACAATAAATAAATAAAATGATAAAACTAGAATCTCATAAGCTTACAGCAAACAGGTTGAACTGGACAATTTGCAACAGTTGCCGTTAAGATCAGACCGAGTCGTCAATATTAATTTTGTAAGTTCAAATTTTACATAGGCAGTATTAGGCGATATATGTAGGTACTAATACAAACGCGCATTCGGAGAAATAAATTAATCGATTTGCCCGACATTCAAGATATATCTTAAATATCAATTTATCTTAAATATCAAGTCACAAGGGTTCGTTACATTACATAAGGTGTAGTCATAGACCATAGTTTCAGTTGATATGAAGAAAAATGAAGCACTAGAAATGTCAGATGGATTTAATTAGGTACGGTGTGGTTTGGGAGTAGCTGCAAGCAATATACTAAATGAAGATAATACCATCTTTTGGATCCGCAAGTATCGAAAGGCACTGTTTATAGGTTGTTCAAAATATTAAAATAACAGCACCGAGGCTGTCAAAGACGAAATAATGGAATCATTTCTAGAAACACTGCAGCTGTAGGCCGTTTGTAGAGAATGACGCAAAGTATCCTTATTATGGGATAGCTCATTTATGGATAGCTATCAACAGGGACAGTGATGCTGCTGTTTATGCTAAAACCATTCAGAAATAGAGTAATATCAAAGTGTGCCATTGTAACAATGTAAAGATAAATCCCAGGAGATTCAATGATTTAATTACCGGAGACAGAATCAAAAAACGTGCTCGGGTACTTAGAGCCACAGAGACGCTGGGAAAATAACAAATTATTCGTTAGGAATAGATAAAATCCACAATTGCTAAACGGACCAGGAGTGCAAAATAAGAAATTTACGCTATATTCTTTGATTGTCAACGCACAACGTACTGATAAAACTTTTGCTGGACAGTTTAAAAGGATATTGTCCAGAGATAATTTAAGCACTATAACACTATAAAAGATATCACCCTTGAAAGAATTTACGAAGGCTCTTTCATGTACATCAGAGTGCCTTCTCCCATTATTTTGCCTCAGTGAATTCTCGTTGCATCAAGTAAGTAACCTTCCCTTTTCTCCTGATCTAGGCCTATTTGACTTTCAGTTAGTCTCTTAAGTGGAAAACAACGTCGTTAGAAGTTAAAATAGCATTGTACCAGTGTCTTCTGTTCACCAAGTGGGACTACTCCGAGACATTTTCAAGGAAGAACAAAATGACATGGAAAATATAGTCTGCGCAAATGCATTCAACTAACAATAACTTAGAAAGATTTACAACACTTTAACGTGTTGCTATGAATATGAATCTTTTTTTACTCAACGTGTTTAGAATAAAGGAAAATAAAGTTTCCTTTTAAAAGGAAAGGCTTGCTCAGT